CAGGAGGAAGCACCTAGCTCCTGGCTTCGGATCAGCGCGGCGCGCCGGCCGCAGCAGCCATTGAGGGGTGAACCAACGGCAAAGGAAGACCTTTCTTTCTGTCTCTCTCTCTCACTGTCCACTCTGCCTGTCCAAAAAAAAAAAAAAGAATAAAGTCCAGAACTTCTCTAAAATATAAGAAAAAAATTGCTCCTGGACAGTTACATCAGGGACAGAAACTTTAGAAAGAATCTCACTTAACTTTCTTCTAAGTTCTTTTCTTTCCATCCACTGATGTGGATGTTACTCCCCAGATGTTCAGAAATGCTGGGGCTGGGACAGGCCAAAGCAAGGAGCCAGGAACTTCATCCAGGTCTCCTATGTAGGTGGCAGGGGTCCAGTACTTGGGCCATCTGCCACTGCTTTTCCCAGGCCATTAGCAGGGGGCTGGATTGAAGTAGAGCAGCCAGGACACAAACTAGCACCCACATGCCTACATTGCAATCAGTGGCTTTACCCACCTATGCCACTTCAGTGGCCCCTTTAAGATTTATTTATTTATTTTGAAAGTCACTAGTTATGGTGGGGAGCGAAAGAAGTGAATGAGCACCTTACACCTTCTAGTTAACTCCCCAGATGGCTACAGTGGCCAGTGCTGGGCCAGACTGAAGCCAACAGCTTCATGGGGTCTCCCAAGTGGGTGGCAGGGGCCCAGACACTTGGGCCATCTTCTACTGCTTTGCCCAGAACATTAGCAGGGAGCTGGATCAGAGGCGGAGCAGCCAGGACATGAATCGGCACCCATATGGGATGCCAACGTTGCAAACAGCAGCTTAACCTGCTATGCCACAATGCTGGACTCAACTTTCTCCTACTTAGAACCTTCCTGAATGTTCAGCTACTCCAAGAATGCTTGAAATTTATTTTAAACCCACATATGTGACCAAACTTCTCTTAATCAACTAAAAGTACTATACAGCCTCTTATTAAAATCAAATGCATGGAAAAAAAGCCTAATTACTATTCATCTTCAGAGAAACACATCCATTTTACTTAGCAATGTTCGTAGTACATTTCACACATCTTTCCCCTTAGACTTTGCTAAAGCCTATGGAGTTTGCTGAATCTCAGCTCTAAAAATAGTACCTTCCCCACAGTGCCTCCAACACCCACATCAAGCTTGTGGAGGGAAAAAGTGGTCCTAATGTTTAGGCTGTTAAAAAAATTTTAAAAACCCTTAAGTTGGTATTCTGATATAATTCTTTACTGACCCATATATTCGTTTTTAACTTTTTCTCTTTTTATCTCAGGAAATAACTAAAACAGGACAAAGGAAAAAAAAAAAAGCCCTAGTAACTATTTTTCAGGGCCCCAATGTCTGTTTCCACAGCCTCCTGCAGCTCCAGGTATGTCACATTCAGCATGGCAAACTCTTGCAATGACTGAATTACTGCCTGTCCCTTCTGAGTGAATTCCAAAGGGCACAAGCTGTGTCTGCTCTATTCACTGCTTATATATACAGTGGCAGGCATGTAATGATTACCTGATGAATTATCCTGAATGCAAAAAAAGAAATCAAACCACTCTCTTATAAAAGCTCTGATATGTCAGAGGTCAGAGGGAAGCAGGGAGGGAGTGGTGACTGGGAAGGGGCATGAAGCGGACATCACATTGATAGGTATGTTCCGTTTCCTGACCCAGTAAAGGTGACTTGGGCAAGCTCACCAGTTGAGCTCAGGTACTAAGCTGTATACTCCTTTCTGTATGTGCTACCCTCCAGCAAGCTTCTCTATGAACATTCTAGGAAAAAAGAAGAAAATTGCAGGCCTTCAGAAATTGCCATGAAATAAATTTGTATATGTGAAGTTAAACTTCAAGTGGGGACCACTATGTTCTTTTATTAAAAGTTCACTCTCAACCACAGAAACTAACCAGATATCCTCCGCCCAGTGACACTAGAAAAGATGCACTAATTGAGATAATGTACACAATGTGCTTAAAATAGTCATCAGTACCTTGTAAGGTATTGCCATGACAGTATTGCACTTTCCAACACCCAAAATGTGGTGCAGTACCAGATGAAGCCTAACCTTAGGTCCTAAGCAGACTTTCTTCATCAGAATATACGGTTCTTCTCTTCACCTTTTTCAAAACAGCATAAATAGCCTAAATGAAGCAGTAGTTTCACCTCCACCATTTTATGGTAATGGAACTCACACTACCACTGGGCTTGCTTTACCCACACCTGAGGAAGTCAAACTCCAAGGCTAAGAATCACAGAGCTGAAAGCCAGCACAGAGATCCTCTAGTCCACTGACTCCCCAACACACACATCACCCAGGTACTGGCTGAAAGTCAAGGTCCCGGGTCTCCCACTCAAGATTCTGCTTCACTTTGACAGTTGGGTCCAGGTGTTAGTGTTGGTTGTCTACAGACCACAATTCACCGCTGTGTTACAGATGGAGGCCCATGAGGGACAGGACCTGCCCAGTCTTGATTAGTGTGGGCAAGACCTAGATTGCTTTTTACCACTCTAGTCTCATTTCCATGACCTCACACTATAACAACTTAGGACTGAGAATGAACCTATCCTAAACTTTGGCCTATTTTACTGAGTTCTGATATCATTTTTATCTTTCCACTAGTTTAACTGGAGAGACACAAAAACCCCCTCCCCTAGATGTGGAGTGCCGGGTACTTCAGAGATGCAGTTTCAATCACAGCATGTTTAGTAACTCTGCGACAGTTACCTTGAATTTTATGTGCTTCTGTTCTGTGCTTTCCTTCGTAAAACAGCAAAACAATACCTACAGTTGCAGGATGTTGGGAAGGATTATGTAAAGAATTAGCAAAGTCCTAGCTAAGGAGTAGCTTTACTAACACCATCTTAAAACATGGCACTGAAACAACATTCTTCCATTTACTAGAGCAGTGTTTTCAAAGCATATTCAGAACCACCTGGAAGTGCTTGTTTAAAATACTGATTTCTGGAACTAGCCCCTCACAAGACCTGGTGAATCAGAATCTCGGGGGCCGGGGGGTGTGGGGGGAGAAGGGACCCAGAAGTCGACATTAGCAAGCAAGCACCCTAGATTCTTCCTTTGCATTCAAAAGCCTGAGAAATGCTGGACTAGGGCTGTGGACAGTGTGTTTCCTGTCCGAAAACAGGTGTCCAACAAGTCAAGCAGTGCTGAACACTCTGATACTAACGAGGTTACACTAACAACAGGTAAGAGACTGCCATCTACTGCCTTATTTTAGAATGCAGGATTGATGTTGGCTCAAGTTCTTTCTCAGTAACTGAATTCATTTTTAAAAAATGAAATGAGGGGCTGACGCTGGGCATAGTGGGTAAAGCCACAACCTGTTGTGCTGGCATCCCATATGGGCACCGGTTCATGTCCTGGCTGCTCCACTTCCCAACCAGCTCTCTGCTATGGCCTGGGGAAGCAGTGGAAGATGGCCCAAGTCCTTGGGCCCCTGCACCCATGTGGGAGACTCGGAAGAAGCTCCAGCCATCGCAGCCGACTGGGGAGTGAAACAGCGGATGGAAGACCTCTCTCTGCCCCTCCTCTCTCTGTGTAACTCTGACTTTCAAATAAATCTTTAAAAATAAAAGAACAGGCTATCCAAGCAATAGAAAGCATACTGGAAGGAGATGTGAAAACAGGCTTTATTTAACAGGAAGAACACTTTATAACTTAAAGAGGTTTTAGATTAATATAATAAACCTGTAATTTCAAGTCAGTGCTAAAATAGTGAAGGGAAATACAACTCCTCACCAAGTGGCCTGTCCCAACAGCAAAAAGAAAACCAGAACCATTGATATTCTAACTGTTGCAATGAAGCAACTTGCAGTCATATTCCCACCATACCCTCCCCAAGCCCCAAGGGAAAAGCCAATGAAAACATATACACACTTTCTTGTCCCACACCATTCTGTCAAGTTCAGCATCAAAACCGCCACCTGCAGGAGAGTAAAGCCCTTCCAAGATGCAAATGCATACAAATAAGACCAGGGCATGAAAAGCCAAAAGATCTACAAGAAGGACCTCTGTGAGACCCCAGTGGAAAGGGGCCATCAAAGAAGGATGTACTTTTCTCAGAAGGGAGGAGAGAACTTCTGGCCAGTGCCCCGGCTAATAGGCTAATCCTCCGCCTGCGGCGCCGGCACACCAGGTTCTAGTCCCGGTCGGGGCGCCGGATTCTGTCCCGGTTGCCCCTCTTCCAGGCCAGCTCTCTGCTGTGACCCGGGAAGGCAGTGGAGGATGGCCCAGGTGCTTCGGTCCTGCACCCGCATGGGAGACCAGGAGAGGCACTGGCTCCTGGCTTCGGATCAGCGCGGTGCGCCGGCCGCAGTGTGCTGGCCGCGGCAGCCATTGGAGGGTGAACCAACGGCAAAGGAAGACCTTTCTCTCTGTCTCTCTCTCACCGTCCACTCTGTCAAAAAATTAAAAATAAAAAAATAAAAAAAGGGAGAACTTCCACTTTGATTTGTGGACTCAAAAGGCTTCTATAACCTTGGCAGCTCATGACAAGAGCCTCGCGTGATCACTGACGTCATAAGAGTGTCAATTGTTAAATCAATAACAGGAGTCACTGTGCACTTACTTCCCATGTAGGACCTCTGTCCCTAATGAGCTATACAGTAAAACTTGTCTTCAAACAGTACTTTATACTTTGTGTGCCTGTGTGGGTGCAATTTGCTGAAATCTTTACTTAGTATAAAGCTGGTCTTCTGTATATAAAGATAATTAAAAATGAATCTTAATGAAGAGTAGGATGGGAGAGGGAGTAGGAGGTGGGATGGGAAAGGAGGTGGGAGGGTGGGTGTGGGGGGAAAACTGCAACATTCCTAAAGCTGTTACTATGAAATTTGTATTCACTAAATAATAGCTTTCTTAACAAAAAAAAAAAAAAAAAGACCAGGGGCTCCAGAGACATGGGCAAAGCTTTATCAATGTCCCCATCAAACTAGCATTTGTATATTTTGTTCATTAATTCAATGACAAGTTGGCAAGTCATAAAAAGCATGCTTTTAATTTTTGTTTATTTTTAAAAAGAAATGACAAAATATATACATAGTGGTGCAGAATCCCCCGTCACAGAGTGTGAATGATGGTCCGGTTGCGAAGCTCCTGAATGTAGTCTCTGGCGTGGGCGAGTGCGGTCTTCGGGGGCTCACGTGGAGGTGGGGGTCCTTCCATCAGCTTCACAAAATAATGGCAGTACACCTTCTCCATGATCCCAAAGCGACCTCTGCCGTGGTAGCGGATGCGTTTCAGGCACTGGCCTCGCCCTGAAGTGGACTCAGCTGCACAGAGGAGAAAGGAGAATGATAGGAAAAGACTGCTAGCCAGAAAACTAGTGCTGCCAGCTGCACAATTTTGGTCGTTTCCTCCACTAGAGTCTAAGATTCCATGAGCTCACTGGTCTACTGGAGCAGGTATCTCCAAACAAGTATCTCCTGAGCACTAAGAAAGGACCACGTACTATTCCAGGTGCTGGAGAAACAAGACTGAGCCAGACTGGCAAGGCCCCTACCTCCATGCACTTTACTTCTGAAAATAAAGTCATACATTTCAGTTGGGGGTAACTGCTATGAAGAAAATAAATCGTAACAACATAACAGAAACTGATGGGATACTGGGGCAACCTCGGGTGGGAGATGTCAGAGGCATCCCTGGGAAAGACATCTGACCTACAACCAGGACGAATCAGTCTCACAGATATGCATGGACAGGGGAACAGTATACTAAGTCGCCATGGCAAGAATATACTTGTTCTAGGAAAAGAAAAAGGACAAGCATGGTAAGGCACAGCAGACAGTGGTAAAAGAGGGCGAGGGGTGCCAAACCCAAAGAAGACATAACTATTAAGGCAAAGGGATAGATTACATGAAGAGACTTCAAAAGTTCATGGAAAATGGAGTTAAAAATAAGTTTATTTTGGTGCCAAAAATGTGAAGTTCATGAATGTGGGCTAAGGTGGGGAGTTCAGATTTTATTCTAAATGCAGTAAGAAGCCACTTGAGCCATTGGTTCTCAAATGCTGGCTCTTAGACCAGCAACATCACACTATCATAGGGAACATACTTAAAATGTCATACTGTGACCCTGACTGTGAAGATTCTAATTCAGTATATTTGGGGTAGGCCTTAGAAATTACATACTAAGCAAACACTCCAATCTAGTGATTCGGAGTCACATCCAGTTTTAGTAACTCCAGCAATTGCCTTCTTTCTTCATTTTATTTGCTATTTGAGAGGCAGAGGTCTCCCATCCTCTGGCTCACTCCTCAAATGCCTATAACAGTCAGGGCTGGGCAGGGCCACAGTTGGAAATTAGGAACTCAATTCAGGTCCCCCACGTGGGTAGCATGAACCCAACTACTTGCTGCCCATTACCAGAAAGCTGGAATTGGAAGCAGAGTCAGGGACCTGAACACAGGCATTCCTATATGGAATGGATCATCCTAACTGGTATCATACTGGTAGGACAGACACCTGCCAAAGAGAATCTTTTAAATAATACATAAGGGAGCCAGTGTTGTAGTAGAGTGTGTAAAGGTGCTGCCTACAATGCCAGCATATCATATACAAACTGGTTTGAGACCAGGCTGCTCCAGTTCCCTGCTAATGTGCCTGGGAAAGCAGTGGAAGATGGCCCAAGTACTTGGGCCCCTGCACCCACATGGGAGATGAGAAAGAAGCTCCTGACTCCTGGCTTCGGCCAGGCCCAGCCCCAGCTGTTGTGGCCACTTAGGCAGTGAACCAACACATGCAACATCTCTCTGTCTATCTGTCTCTTCCTCGCTCTGTGTAACTCTGACTTTCAAATATATAAATAAATCCTAAAAAAAAAAAAACAAAAAAAACATAATAATTCTGATCACCTATCAATCCATAGTAAATCAGAATAGTAAGCTACCATCTACAATTTTCTGTATGTAAAGTCAGTTCTTCTTGGTTTATTAATACACCTTTTTAAAAGGAAAAGATAAAAATCCATAAAATACATATCAAACTAATTTATTTCAATATTGAATTATTTTCCTATTCCGACATAACTTTATACATACAGGGACTACATCAAAGTATGCACTTGTCAACCTGGTAACTAGAATCTTTGCCAAAGAGAAAAATGAGGATAAAATAGTTAAGAAAACTGTTCAGGATCTCAGTGAGATAAAGGAAGTGCTACTACCCTCTACCAGCTTCATCTACCCAGCCCTGAAAAATGAGTCTAAGAACTTCCTAGAGAAAGTAGCATTACACAAATCACTTTTCAATGAAACACCACCAGGTTCCCTGGATCAACTCGTCACAAGGAAACCTACAAATAAAAATGGTGAGACTCGGAAGAGATCAAAAAATTTCTAAAAGCATTTTATAAACATCCGAATTTTGCTTCTATCCAAAACTGCTATTACACCCAACTTGTGTAGGTATTTCCAAATACTCAGGATAAAGAACACCTCAGTGAAAGAAGTATTAACACTGGCCAACTGTGCAAGATTACACAGCTATCACCTGTATCTGGTCTATGTCACTTCCATTTTCCTTCCATCTTCCACAAAACACAAACTACAGAGCACAAGCACAGAAGCTCAACATCAGCTAAACACAGTCATGATTTCACCCTAAATCCACAGAAGATCTTCTTCTATCTTATAGCACATAATGCCATCATTTCGTTAGATCAAAACAGAAACATTAATTCTTTTATTTATTTTTTTAAAGATCTATTTTTTATTTATTTTTTTAAAGATCTATTTTCTATTTATTTGCAGAGAAAGAGAAAGGGGACAGGGAGGAAGAGAGAAAAGGAGAGAGAGAAAGAGGGAGAGAAGGAGAGAGAGAGAGAAGGAGAGAGAGAAGGAGAGAGAGAGAGAAGGAGAGACAGAGACAGAGACAGAGACAGAGACAGAGAGGTCTTCCATCTGCTGGTTTATTCCCTAAATGGCCACAATGGTCAAGGCTGGGCCAGGCCAAAGCTAGGAACCAAGGTCTCCCACGTGAGTGCAGGGGCCCAAGGACTTGGGCCATCTTCTATTGCCTTCCCAGGTGCACCAGCAGGGAGGTGAATTGGAAATGGAGCAGCCAGACTTGAACCAGTGCACATATGGGATGCTGGCATTGCAGCAGTGGCTTAATCCGTTAGGCCACAGCACCAGCCCCCAACATTAATACTCTGGGTACACAGAATTCTTTACTACACTGAAAGGAGAATCCCCAACACAGCAAACCTGAGGTCTCCATGAAATCAGGACTTAAGAGCAAATAGCTTCCAAATTAGTTTCTCCTCCCACCTCTCCTCCACTAATCCTGTGTGTTAGCGGTTTCAAGTGCTTTTATATGCAGAACAATTTCAATTAAAATTAAACAATACTTGTGTATAGAAGCCCAATATATAAGACACTGTCACGTGGATGTGTTGCAGTTGAAACATGTGTGGAAGAAGAATTGAAACTCTGCCATTCATTCACTCAATAAGTATTTCTGAATTCCTATTACCGGGTATGAGGTTCTAGCCTGTGCTAAAGAATATAGTATTGACCAAAAAATCAAGAGCCCCATCCTTCAAGGCTCTGGAGAACCCAATTTCAAAACTTCAGCCCTTAATTAAGTCTTAACAGCAGAAGAGGTTCAATACAGTTTGAACCAACTGCCACTACCTGCCACATTCAGCCCTCTAGAATCTAAGCCCAATTTACTCTTCCAATCTTCTCTACTTTATCTCCTTCACACTATTCTGTTCCTTCTATCACACAAGTATGACATATGCCAACCTATGAACCTTTGTTTATGTGGTTACATCACTTTGAAAGCAAATTCTCTACAATTCCAAAAACCTTAATTTTTCTAGAAAATCTCCGTGACTATTTTAACCCATATGGAATTTTTCTTTTCTACTTCAATAATAGCATTTATCTGTATTCTACTTAGTCCCAAATAATATGCTGTCTTTATAACTGTTCATGTTTTATCTGTTAAAGTCACTTCCTCAACCAAATTTATAATTATTTTGTATTGCCCCAAAAGTACACAATATACAAGGAACAGAAATTATTTTGAAAATTCATCCTCTGTTAATCCATATCATTTTTTAAATAGCAGGTTTCTGGAAATTTGCTCAAATTATGAATTTCAAAATTTTCCAAATAGCTATAATATGCACGCTTTTGTTCCAACACAGAAATCAGAATTTATGTCTTTTTCAAAGGAATACTTGTGACAAAGAGCAAAACTACATGTGCCAGATGTCTTAAACTGATTGAAAAGATGTACCATCTCCTAATTATATGGGCAACACGCACATAGAAAGCACTCAGATGCTTTGTGAAGGAAAGCATATGTCGGAACATCACAGAAACTGAGAATGACTTTTCTTTTTTTTATTTATTTATTTATTTTATTTTATTTTTTATTTATTTATTTATTTTTTTTTGACAGGCAGAGTGGATAGTAAGAGAGAGAGACAGAGAGAAAGGTCTTCCTTTGCCGTTGGTTCACCTCCAATGGCCGCTGCGGCCGGCACGCTGCGGCCAGCGCACAGCGCTGATATGATGGCAGGAGCCAGGTACTTCTCCTGGTCTCCCATGGGGTGCAGGGCCCAGGCACTTGGGCCATCCTCCACTGCACTCCCTGGCCACAGCAGAGAGCTGGCCTGGAAGAGGGGCAACCGGGACAGAATCCGGCGCCCCAACCGAGACTAGAACCCGGTGTGCCAGCGCCGCAAGGCGGAGGATTAGCCTAGTGAGCCGCGGCGCCGGCCTTGTTCTCGTCTATAGATAATACCCCAAAGGTACCACATACTTAAAATATTTAATTTTCCCTATTACTATTATGTAGGTAAATGCACACATCTTGACATCTTAATATTAGAAGTCCTCTTTTGCCCCATTCCATCAGTCTTAGCTCAGAAGACTAATGTACAAAGTCAGTTGACCATCTTCCCTAAAGTGAATCACGAAGCAATGACATTTCATTGGTTCATGTCCACTTGTTAAGGACTATTCATAGTGTCGTTAGTCATCATTATAAGCTTGAAAAAGAAATGAACTTTAACGCAATATCAGGTATTAGGATTATACTGATGCCAGGCATGTGATGAATTACCACATAATGAAAACCTATGCTACCAAGAAAGTAGGTCCCTTAAAATGCCTACAATTATCTCAGGGTACTAAAACAGTCACTACCAAAATGGTAGCCAACTAGTAATCAATTTTCCCAAACTCTAATACATTTCTGAAGAATGAAATGTGTAGGACTTTTCCATGAATGCAATAAAATAAATAATATAAATAAAATAAATCAGTTTCCAGCATTTAATAGGTATCCAACTAGGGTAGTTATTAAACAGACAGCTTCCCAGGCCTCTGCCCTGGGTTTTTAGGACCCGGGTATGTATGGTAAGGCCTAGGAGTCCAAAATTTTTATTAAGACTCTCACATGATTTTTTTTTTAAAGAATTATTTATTTATTTCAAAGGCATAGTTACAGAAAGGCAGAGGCAGACAGAGAGAGATCTTCCATCCACTGGTTCACTCCCCAGATGGCCGCAATGGCTGGAGCTAAGCTCCTTCTGGGTCTCCCATGTGGGTACAGGAGCCCAAGGACTTGGGCCATCTTCCACTGCTTTCTCAGGCCATAGCAGAGAGCTGGATTAGAAGTGGAGCAGCTGGGACTCATACTGGCACCCACATAGGATGCCAGCACTGTAGGCGGCTACTTTACCTGCTATGTCACAGTGCCGGTCCCTCATATGATTCTTACCAGAGAAGTTTGGTAACTTAAATGTCCAACACATCAGGGTAAAATGTTTCATCTTCCTGAGAGTACCCATGAAAATATGACTGAATCAGGCATCAAAACATTTAAAAGAATGAAATTTTTCAACTCATAAAACAAATTCAATCTATTGTCCCTTTTTAAGAAAAGTACTTTCACAGAGAACTTGAAGAAAAGAGAGCGCAGGAAGAGCAGTGATTTTTTTAGCAGAAAAAAATGCATAAGGAGACCTCTGAATTAACGGCCCCTTGATACAGGACTGCTGAAGTATATTTCTGCTTAACAGCAACAGTGGAATTTGCCCCTTCAATGGGGATGACAGTTTTAAGAACCTCAGACTATTTCTCTTTACTACAATTATTGAAAAGGATTTTAAAAGTTATTGAAAAAAGTTTTGAAGACAAATCCTATTTCAGTTCTTATGTGAAATGTATTATAAAGTCAATCAAGTCAGAATCCCATATTTACATGGAATTGAATAAAATTAAATTTAATTTGAAATCAGAATCATAAAGCAGGAAAGGTCACCAAGGTTTTAAGCAAATGGTCTTGCTCCTCTTCCAGTCCAATCCCTCCAGGGATTCTGTGGCCCCTACTCCCCAGCGTTACTTATCCAGGCTGCTCCCAGAAGGAAATGCTTATGAGTAATTTCAGGGGCCCTGTATCTTCTCGGTTGCCATTTTGATTTCCTTCCTAATTTGTGCACACATCAGAGTAAAAGTAGTTGTAAAGATTACAATTTAAAATAACTAATTTGAATTTCAGAAGGAGGTGTGGTTGCTGACAGCAATTCCTTAAGAGCTGAGTTGAGATTTTAACCTAATCGGAATAAATATGTCCAGGAGGACAGAGGTTAGAAGACAAAGTAGGATTTAGACGATTTCTCTGTTACTCTAATTCAGGGGTAGAGAACCTTTTTTCTGCCAAGGACCATCTGGATGTTTCTATCATCATTTGCAGCCCAACAAAACTATCAATTTAAAGATTATCTTCTATAGATTTATTTACGGAATTTTGAGTTCCACCTGTTATTGCCTTGGCAGGGCCAGAGAAAATTATTTTGCATGCCTTACATGGTCCATAGGTCAGATATTCCCCACCCCCATTCTAACTGTTGAAAAACTATAAAGTACAACTAATTCCACCTAAAATGCTTCTGCCCCTTTCTCCCATTTGAAGAAATAGCAGTTTCCCATATCTTGAATTTAAAGTATTTAGATAAAATAGTCCTTCTTATTTGGAGGTTCCATAGACTGAGACAATTTCACATCAACAGCAACATCTTTGTTTGATTATGAAAATGCTGAGGTTAGGAGAAACTGCTGCTGAAGAGAACAGAAAACAGTAGCTCTACCTTACATGGTACTGGGAGGGGACAGGAGAGCTCTGCAATAAGGCTGATCTCCTTCTAGGAAAAAGCTATATACAATATGCTGCAAAAAACCTCCCTTCTCTGTGTACAGTGTATCACTTCCCAAAGCATCTTCCTGTACATCAGTGCAATGTGATGGGGAACAAGCAGATACAAGCAGAGGTAATGCTTCAGGATGTAGCAGCCAAGGGAAGAAAACATGAGGGTCACCTGAGCCTTCCAAAGCCACTTAGCTTCCTCAATTCTACACATCTTCCACTCTGATAACTACAAGGTTAAATGACAAAACCCTTTTAGGGATACAGACCTGGCTTGGACCATTACAAATGAAGATTTATTTTAAGTCTACTTCTGATCTTTCATTCCTTCTAGCTGACAATGAATTTGATTTTCAGAATTTAAAAAAAAAATGCTCTTAGTTTTATTATGATAAAAGATCACCTAGGTAGCAGTCTTGGAATCTATTATTCACTAATTATTAGCAGTTAAGTTTCATGGTCTCAGACTCATTACAGAAGAGGTAAGAATAAAAAGTACAATTATTACCAATTTTAACACATTAGCAATGATATGCTAAAAGCTGAAGAATAAGTCATTACCAGCAAATTTCACTGGCAAACCTAGTCCTAAGTAGTTAGATATCAAAGAATGTATTGGAAGACATTTTCCAATGTAAAGAATACTAAAAATCTTACCTATATATAAATTGGATCTGAATTCTACATTGTGGTCTCTCACTGCCATATCTTGTGCTTCTAAGAGAACCTAAAACAAGGAAAAGAAAGACATTCATATGGCTAATCCTGAACTGCAACAGAATTAAATATCTCATCTCTTGTCATCTCTGTATTATGACTGTTAATCACATGCCTTCACCTTATAGCCAGTTTTTAAAAGTATATCAAATGATAAGGACACTAAGGATAAGCAGTACCATGAGTTTTCTTTCCACAAAGAAGAAATGAAAAATGCAAACCACACAGTCTATCCTGCTGAATTTTAACTGGCACACATAAGCCACAGAGGAAGAAGTGGCAGCACTGGTACAAAGTCATGTATTTCAGTAAGGGACTTACCAGAAAGGTCAAGAAATTCAAGAGCTGAAATTTACTGAACATTTAAAAATTCTAGATCCAAAAAATCCATTAACAGTGTCTGAGAAATACAGAAAATCATACTTGAGAATTTCCTTTAAGAAGGCCAGCACTGTGGCGTAAAAGGTTAAGTCTCCACCTGCAGGGTAGGCATCCCATGTGGGCACCAGTTCAAGTCCCAGATGCTCCACTTCTGATCCAACTCCCTGTTAATGCACCTGGGAAAGCAGTGGAAAATGGCCCAAGTCCTTGGGCCCCTGCACCCACGTGGGAGACCCAGAAGAAGCTCCTGGCTCCTGGCTTCAGATCAGTGCAGTTCTGGCCATTGCAGACAACTGGGGAGTGAACCATCAGATGGAAGTCCTCTCTCTCTCTACCTCTCCTTCTCTCTCTGTGTAACTCTCAAATAAATAAATAAATCTTAAAAAAATTAATTATTAAATATACTCTCCATAGATATTTTGAATTAACTGCCTCCAGAATACATTTTTTTTAAAAGACAAAAACCATTGTCAGAAATAACAGAAACCAGATATTTTATTCCTTTAAGATAAAGAATGTAGCACAAGGCTGGGTATATAAAAGATACAAAATAAATGCACTGAGTTGAATTAAATACAGTAAAATCACAGCATCACAATAGAAGCTCTTAGACATCTGAATCCATCAGTGACAGCTATTCAATCACTAAACTAAGAACTCACTTGGCCGGTGCCGCAGCTCAATAGACTAATCCTCCGCTTGCGGCACCAACACACCGGGTTCTAGTCCCGGTCAGGGCACTGGATTCTGTCCCGGTTGCCCCTCTTCCAGGCCAGCTCTCTGCTGTGGCCAGGGAGTGCAGTGGAGGATGGCCCAAGTCCTTGGGCCCTGCACCCCATGGGAGACCAGGAGAAGCACATGGCTCCTGGCTTCACATCAGTGCGGTACACCGGCCACAGCGCGCTGGCCGCGCCGGCCATTGGAGGGTGAACCAACAGCAAAGGACGACCTTTCTGTCTCTCTCTCTCACTATCCACTCTGCCTGTCCAAAAAAAAAAAAAAAACTCACTTAAGGTGAGAATTAACAGAAGATATAGAAAACAATGCTGATATCCCAAGATGGTAAATATCAATATAGTTTGTTGAAATAAGAATATTCCTATGCGTAGAATGAGGCAGCACACTTACCACTGACACAGTATTACCTAGAAAATCAGCCACATTTGGGATTAGAATGGTATTTATTGATAAGTTAATTCAATCCCACCAGATGAGAAAAATGGAAGCAGACAGGTTAAGAGTCTTGCCCATGGTTACAAGAAAAGTGTCACAGAAAGGACAAGCTTTCAGGTATCTTGAGTTCCAGCCTAGTGCTCTTTCAATTCAACTAGTAATAAAATTCCAAGCTCTCATTTGTAGACTTGACTTAAAAAAATAATTTTAAAAAATTCCTAAAAAACAGCCTGAGCCCCAAATCATTAAAAATAAAGTTTATCGTTGATAGTAAAAATAATAAATAAACGTCTGGTGCAAATAAAAGAATCTGAGGGGAAAAAAATGTTCAAAGTATGTACATTCCTAAGGTAAAAGGGGGTCAATAAAACTGAGTGCCCTAAATCTTTATCATATAAAGTATATATTTACACCAGAAAAGTCAGGGAATTCAGTAATTACGCTGAGATTATTAACACCCACAAGATGGATACGCATCTCCCCTGTCCCCTGCCCGGATCTTACAAGTTTACCTCTTTAATTATCTGTGCTCCTTTTTTGTCACTGAACTCCAACTGAGCCAAAGCCTGGTCAATGGACATTCCTCTTATCTAGAATTAAAGGGTGACAAACCAGAGAGAATAAACAGGTTATTTTACAAAGTTCCCTTTCCAATAAAAACTAAAAGCTTTACATAATCCAAATAATTTCTAAAAACAGTGAACCAATACAGGCAAAAGATAAGAAAACAAGTTTGCAAAAGGATATTACCCTCTTGAGGTCAAAATCAAACACATTAACAATAAAACCTAGGTTGTAGTAGCTCTACTAACACTGAAAGACAGAAGACATGACAACAAATCACAGCTGGCAATGTTCACACTAGCACTGAAGGCATCTCCTTCTCCTTTCTAAGACAAGTAATACATGTAGATTTGCTGCTTTTGTCTTGCCTTAGCTACAAATATTTTCCAGGGAAGCGCTGCAGGACTTTAAAAAGCAACAATTTTGAAACAAGTTGAATGTACTTTACAGGTAGCTAATGTTCCAGGATTCTCTGCTTATACCCAGATTCCCAATGCTTCATTTTAATGTGAAGAAGAAGTAAAAACTGAGTAAAGCCATACATCTCTGAGCAATCATTCTTTGATTACCTACCAACTGTCAGAACATGGAACTGTTATTTCTAACTTCTTGGGGAAATCAGGGCAAGCTTTTTTGGTTTCCTCAAATGTTGAAGAAAAATCACAGTTTCTTTCCTAAGTATTGCAGTGATCAGGGCCAGTATCGCAGCCCAGCAGTTAAGCTGCTGCTTGCGAGGTCAGAAATCTATATTGAAGCCTCTGGGTTGAGTCCCACAAGCTCCACTTCCAATCCTACTTTTTGCTAATGGCCTGAAAAGGCAAGAGAGGATGGTCCAAATACTTGGTCCCCTGCCACCCACAGTAGGGACCCAGGTGGAGTTCTAGACTCTTGGCTTTGGCCTGGCCCAGCCCTGGCTGTTGCAGCCATTTGGAGAGTGAACCAGCAGATTGAAGATAACTCTTTCTCTCTCTCTGTTGTTCTGCTTCTCAAGTAAGTAAGTAAGTAAATAAATAAATAAATAAATCTGTATCTGATAGTTGTCATTTTAGCTTACCAATTTTGCCAGATACCACATCTTGTCTTTGCTGTATTTTATTTGTCTTCGACAGTGGTAGATTTCCTTACAAATAGGAAAACAAAAAGCAAACAAACTTTAGCTGGCTTATTAAAATAACACTAAAATACAACATTAATGAGGTTTTCACTTTCTATGACTAATGAAAATTCTGACAGTACTGAAAATGTAGAGATCTCTTTTCCACATATCTTTCCAAAATTTCACTACGTTAACGGATCACTACGTGTGAAACAGAAACTATAAAATGGGAAGTTTGTGCCAACATTTAAATATCCAGAGGAGGCTGGCGCCGCGACGCAATAGGCTAATCCTCTGCCTGCGGCACCGGCACCCTGGCTTGTCTCAGCTCAGCTCCTGATTCCAGTTTCCTGCCAGTGCACACCCTGGGAGGTAGCAGAAAATGGCTCAAGTACTTGGATCTCTGCTCCGCATGTGGGAGACTTATTTAGATGGAGCTCTGGGTTTCTGACTTCAAGCTGGCTAAGCCCTGGCTATGTGGATATTTGTAGAGAGAACAGCAGATGAAAAAGCTCCCTCTGTTTATCTCAGGCTTCCTCTGTTTATCTCCCCCTGTGACTGTGCCAGCATCCCATATGGGCGCCGGTTCGAACTCGGCTGCTCCACTTCTAATCCAGCTCTCTGCTATGGCCTGGGAAAGCAGAAGATGGTCCAAGTCCTTGGGCCCCTGCACCCACGTGGGAGACCCAGAGATTGCTCCTGGTTCCTGGCTTCATATCGGCACAGCTCCGGCTGTTGCAGCCAATTGGGGAGTGAACCAACGGATAGAAGACCTTTCTCTCTCTCTCTCTCTCTCTCCCTCTCCCTGTCTATCCTTGTCTCTCTCCCTGTCTCTCTCTCTCTCTCTCTCTCCCTCTCTCTCTCCCTCTCCCCCTCTCCCCCTCTCCCTCTCTCCCTCTCTGTCTCTCCCTCTCTCTCTCTCTCCCTGTTTCTCTCTCTCCATCTCTCCCTGTCTGTCTCTCTCTCTCCCTGTCTCTCTCTCCGTAACTCTTTCAAATAAATACATAAATCTTAAAAAAAAAAAAAAAGAAAAAGAAAAGGGAAAACAAACAAACAAACAATTTCACAATTAGTAAAGAGAATAATGGCAAAATCAACAAAGTAAGTGTTTTACAGGTGTTTGGTCAAGAGTGTAGGTTCCAGATTCAGAATCCCTGGGTTGGAATCCCAGTTCTACTGTTTACCACTACATAATCATGGACAAACCACTTAACCTCTAAGTTTCTTCCTCTTTAAAAGGTAGATAAGCATACGGACTATATTAAACTCTAATGAGAACTAAATTAAAAAAAAAAAACATTTAAGGAAACCACTTTGTATGGCATGGCACATGGCAAGTTCTCAGTGAATGCTAGCTTTTATTATCCTCTATTTAAAGTGGCAGGCATAACCTATTTTAAGCCAATTCACCTATTAAACAATTTATAATGCACAAAGCACTTTTTAGACCCATTACTTGATGAATAGAACTCTAAGTGTGACAGGAAAGATTTTATAAATATTTTACAAAGGGAAAACCAAGTGAATTGTCCAAACCCACCAAGCTTGTGAGGAAGAAAGCCAGAAGTCAAAGAGCAGGGAGGTATGTGAAATACCTAATATAAGGTCTAGCAGGTGGACTTTGCAAAGTCCCCCTTCTGACCCTGATACTCATGTTACAATAATCTATCACACTGCCACTTTAAGAAAATTAGAAAACATTAAGACAAACAATAGCAAGATCTTAAAACTTTCTAACATCCTGACCCCTTCTGGAATTTTCAAATGCCTTAGAAACAGCCAAGTTTTCTCAAGTGGCCATCTTTCAATATGCAGCATATTTCATTTCAGTGGCAACAGAAGCTGACAGGCTGAAAACTGTAGCAAAAGCCTAATTACATTTTCAGTAATAAAGTGTCCTAGGGAGCAAGGGAGAAGAAAGAAGAACTGTCACGACTGATAACAGTAATCTGCAAAAATTAATCCACTCAATGAAACCATATACACAAAAACCTTTCAACTCATGGGTTCCCATGGCAGAATATCTTTAAACTGAACTGTCTATGATTATCCACAAATTTTGTTTTCATAAAAAAATTTTTTTGTTACACTGTTATATAGTATTTCCAGCAAGAGCCTAAGAAAAAATGGTTACAAGCAAGGTGAAAGTTAATCAAGCATCCTCTTCTCAAACTACAAAGCTCAGCATTTACTTTGGACAGTTGAAATGTCTAAGGACACTTTCTAAAAATTAAGTGGACAAAGTCTCAGAAGAAGAAGACCTATCATGGCAAACAGATAAAGTAGGAAAACCAGAAATCAGAAGGCAAAGCTATATATCATTGCCATTAATTAAATACAGTAATTATTAGGTAAAGTGAAGTGAGGATAAAATGCACAAAAGGGTCATTCAGATGAAATAGTAGTCCAAATATAAAATGCCCCCCCCCTTTTTTTTTTGGACAGGCAGAGTGGACAGTGAGAGAAAGAGAGACAGAGAGAAAGGTCTTCCTTTTGCCGTTGGTTCACCCCCTCCAGTGGCCACTTGGCCAGCGTGGCCGGCGCACCGTGCTGATCTGAAGCCAGGAGCCAGGTGCTTCTCCTGGTCTCCCATGTGGGTGCAGGGCCCAAGCACTTCAGCCATCCTCCACTGCACTCCCGGGCCACAGCAGAGAGCTGGACTGGAAGAGGAGCAACCAGGACAGAATCCGGCGCCCCAACTGGGACTAGAACCCAGTGTGCTGGCACCGCAGGCAGAGGATTAGCCTATTGAGTTGCGGCACCAGCCGCCTAAAAATTTTTAAAAACCATTTTAAAATGTATTTTTATTTTATTTGGAAGGCAGACAGTCACAGGGGGAGATAAACAGAGGAAGCCTGAGATAAACAGAGGGAGCTTTTTCATCTGCTGTTCTCTCTACAAATATCCACATAGCCAGGGCTTAGCCAGCTTGAAGCCAGAAACCCAGAGCTCCATCTAAATAAGTCTCCCACAAGCGGAGCAGAGATCCAAGTACTTGAGCCATTTTCTGCTACCTCCCAGGGTGTGCACTGGCAGGAAACTGGAATCAGGAGCTGAGCTGAGACAAGCCAGGCACTGTGATATGGGATGCGGGTAACTTAACCACTGAGCCAAACACCCACTCTAAGACAACAACTTACCTTTTTAAAAAAAAAAAAATTATTTATTTACTTGAAAGTTGGAGTTACAGAGAGAAGAGAGGCAGAGAGAGGGAGGTCTTCCATTCACTAGTTCACTCCCCAATTGGCTGCAATGGCCAGAGCTGTGCCGATCTGAAGCCAGGAGCCAGGAGCATTCTCTGGGTCTCCCACGTGAGTGCAGGAGCCCAAGAACTTAGGCCCTCTTCTACTGCTTTCCCAGGCCATAGCAGAGAGCTGGATCAGAAATGGAGCAGCTGGGTCTTGAACCGGAGCGCATATGGGATGCCGGCACTGCATGCAGCAGCTTTAACGACTACGCCACAGCACCAGCCCCAGCAACAACTTACATCACATAACTCAAATAAGGAAAACATGTGACCCAATAAATGTCTTTGCTAAAGAGGGGCCAGCGTTGTGGTACAATGGGTTAAGCTGCCGCTTTTGATGCCGGCATCATATTATCACAATGCTAGTTCCAATCCAGCTTACTGCTAATGCGCCTGGGAAGGCATAAAAAGATGGCCCAGATGCTTGTGCCCTTCCCACTCCTATAGGAGACCAGGATGAAGTTCGTGACTCCTGGCTTTGGCCTGGCCCAGACCCAGCTGTTGCAGCCATTTTACAGGTGAAACAACAAATGGACAATTAACCAATCTTTCTTTTTCTCTATGTACCTTTTAAATAAATAAATGAATAAATCTTTTTTTAATAAAAGAGTCGTGGCGGGGGTCGGCATTGTGGCACAGTGGGTTAAAGCCCTGGCCTGCAGCGCTGGCATCCCATATGAGTGCCAGTTCCAGTCCGGGCTGCTCCACTTCTGATCCAGCTCTCTGCTATGGTCTGGGAAAACAGCAGAAGATGGCCTAAGTCCTTGGACCCCTGCACCAGCATGGGAGACCCAGAGGAAGCTCCTGGCTCCTGGTTTCTGATCAGCTAGGCTCTGGCTGCTGCAACAATTTGGGGAGTGAACCAGCAGATGGAAAACCTCTCTCCCTCTCTGGTTCTACTTCTCTCTGTAACTCTTTCAAATAAACAAAATTAATCCAAAAAAAAAAAAAAAAAGAGTCATTGGTGCCAGCATTGTTGCTTAGTTCGGTGCTGGTTCAAGTCCCAAATGCTCCATTTCCGATCCAGCTCTCTACTATAGCTTGGGAAAGCAGTAGAAGATGGCCCAAGTCCTTGGGCCCTGCACCCGCATGGGAGACCAGGAGAAACACCTGGCTCCTGGCTTTGGATCAGCGCAGTGCGCCGGCCACAGTGCGCTGGCCGTAACAGCCACTGGGGGGTGAACCAACGGTTCTTTCTGTCTCTCTCACTGTCCACTCTGCCTGTCAAAACAAATAAAAATAAAATAAAAAATTAAAAAAAAAAAAAAGAGTAAAGGCCCCTCCCTAACCAGCACATTAACTAAAGGCAGAAGGTAAGTAAAGCAAGGACAATCTTTTAAACTACAAAAGGATAAATATAATACATGTTCTGTCAAAAAAATAATTCATAATTGTATAGTTTTTCTTTTCACAACTGAAGAATAAATCACTGCTGGCCACATAAAAATAGGAGCACTGATCACAATCAGGAGACTGATTCTAGACACAAACTTACTGCTGGTCTCCGAGGTTCTCCAGGGAGTTGAGGAGGATATACAATTTTATTCTTCTTTTCCCATCTTCGAGAAATATCAAGAGAAGCACTTGTGTGGATATATGATTGGGGTAAAACCCTGGGGGATGAAAGAAACCAGTAAAACAAAATCTTAGAACTTTTTGCAGAGTTTAACCTATCTTCTGAACCACAGAAACCACCTAATGATTACAAGTCGAAGCACTCTGTTAAGTATTCTGTAATAGAAACTGATTTTACATAAAATATCACACAGAACTAGTTTATTAGAGGCTAGGAAGGATGACAGCTAACAGATCCCTGAGTTGACCTCTGAGTGAGCAAGACAAACACAGAAAACAACTACAGGACAGTATGACTGGGCCTGGAGAGCATGCCTTTAAACATCGACGTAAGGCACTGTGACTTGATGACAAAGATACTAAATACATCACTCCCTGAACTCCCCCACTCTAGTTATCCATTCTCCTTCTTCCATATCACTAAATAAAATCATCCTTGAATAGGGTCCTAAATTTATCTTCACCCTCCCAATTATCTATCCTGCAACAGTCAGTCACCAAGTCTTAGATTTTTCTATCAAAATATTTCTCAAATGCCTTGCCTCTTCTCATTCCAATTGCTACCATCCTAGTGCAGGACCTGTTCTTCTCTTTCAGATCCACAGCAACTGTTTTCTCTGCCACGAACATCCTTGGTTCCAACCCACCTTTCTCTGCCTGAGAACCAAATGAGCTACTCTTCTATATTACAGAGCTATCGATGTCATTCTCCAGTTTAAAATCCTTTGCTAAGATAAAACAAATGAATAATTATGTAATATCCTAATTCTATCTCTTTTTTCATGTCACTACCAACTGGGATTGTTGATATGGGAACAAGAAGAGATTTCGTCAAAATCCTCTAAGTTCTAGGAGGCCCAGAAAAAGCTGCTAACAATGACCCAGGAGCAATTAGTTTTCCTTGTGCCCAGATTATTATCTTGAAATACCTATCAAAAAGAATCCAACTTAGGGAGAAATGGCAGACTGCAGATCTTGAACAGAAAATATACAAAATGGACATGGAACATCATGTGATATCAGAAAGCAAGGAAGCTATCAAAGACTGTCAGGGTCACGTCAAAGGCACTTAGGAGCGAACTGGTAAATGCCCCTATGGACCAAAGAAGGGAGAATTAGAGCATTTATAAGAATAAGCATGGGGGTTAAAACATCAAAAATGAAAATAAGAATAAAAAAGAATTAGCTACCATTATAACATGTTTGTAAGCCAACTTACTTCAAAAAGTTCATAGAAAATTAAAAAATAACCTCAGGGGGTTGGCGCTGTGGCATAGCAGGTAAAGCCACCACCTGCAGTGCCGGCAGACCACTTAGGCGCTGGTTCCCAGCTGCTCCACTTCTGATCCAGCTCTCTGCTATGGCCTGGGAAAGCAGTGGAAGATGGCCCAAGTGCTTGGGCCCCTGTACCAACATGGGAAACTTGGAAGAAGCTCCTGGCTCCTGGCTTTGATCGGCCCAGTTTCAGCCACTGCAGCCATTTGGAGAGTGAACCAGCAGATTGAAGACCTCTTTCTGTCTGTCTGTCTGTGCCTCTCTGTGACTCTGCCTTTCAAATAAATAAATGAATCTTAAAATAAAAAAAAAAAAAAAAAAGATAACCTCGGGATGGGCATTGTGACACAGAAGGCTGAGTCACCACTTGGGACACCTGCACCCCCTATCAGAGTGCAGGTTCGTGTCCTGGATTCCCAGCTTCCAATCTAGCTTTCTGCTGATGCATGCTAGGAGGTAGCAGATGGTGGCTCAAGTGCTTGGGTCCCTGTCACCCATGTGGGAAAGCCAGATGCAGCTCTGAGTTCTTAGCTTCAGTCTCCCCGAGGTCTGGCTGCAGGGGTCATATGGGAATGAATCAATGGATAAAAGACCAAGCTATCTCTCCTCTCCCCCTCTTTGCCTGTCACTGTCTTTCAAGTACATTAACAGGGAGCTGCATTGGAAACGGAGCGGCCAGGACTTGAACTAGTACCCACATGGGAGCCAGTGTCACAGACAGCAGCTCTACCCACTAACTACAGTGCCAGCCCCATAGAATGCATTTTCCATAAACTCTTAAAACACTCCTGATACATATGTATCTCAAAATTTTTTTGGTATCAAAATACCCTTTAAAAAAATCTTTTTTAAAAGGTAAGTTGGGGCCGATGTTGTGGAATAGCAGGTAAAGCCACCACCTTGACACCGGCATCCCATATGAGCATTGGTTCGAGTCCCAGCTGCTAATCTTCTGATCCAGCTCCCTGCTGATGTGCCTGGGCAAGCAGCGGAGGATGGCCCAAGTGCTTGGATGGGCCCCTGCACCCAAGTGGGAGACCCCAAAGAAGCTCCTGGCTTCAGTCTGGTCCAGCTCCGGCCACTGTGGCCATTTGGGGATTAACCAGGAGATGGAAGACTGCTCTGTCTCTCTAACTCTGCCATTAAAATAAATAAAAAAGAAAAGGAAAACTTCTATTTCAGTTTTTTAAGAAAAGAAAATAAACACTATGAAAAAAACTATGCATAGATCTCAAAATTATTTTGCAGCAAAATAAGCCTCATCTTTTAATTCCACTTTTCGACAAATTTTTTTAAGTACCTCATATTTTCAAAACAGGTGAATAAAGAGAAACAATCAAACATTTATCCTGTGTTTCCTATACAAGCTGTACCCCTAACTGCTAAGTAGCAGGTGAAAGTTTGACTTCTACAGAGTAAATAATGAAGAAATAGTAGAATTATAATAGCACCATTTTATAATCCTTAATAAATTAACGGCCAGTGCTAGAGAGGCCAGAGTTAGGAATCAGGAGCTTCACCTGGGTCTCCCACATGGGTAGCAGGGTCCAAACCCTTGGGCCATCTTTCACTACTTTTCCCAGGCCATTAACAGGGAGCTAGATCATTAAGAGGAGCAGCTGGGACTCGAAGCACTCAAGTGGAGCAGCCAGACATAAATTGACACCCATACAGGATGTCAACATTGCAGGTGGCAGCTTTACCCGCTACACCACAACACTGACCCAAGAAAGCTGGTGGCTTTATAAAAGGAAAGAGACCACACACACTCACTCTGTCTTTGCCCATGTGACGCCCTGTGTCACTCACCACCTCAGGACTCTGTCAACAAGAAGGCCATCACCAGATATAACCCCTTGACCTTGGACCTCCAGAACCTCGAGCTAAAATAAATCTCATTTATTCATAACTTACCTAGTCTGTGATATCATACTATTATCAGCAGAAAACTAACCAACATACCACCCTGCTTGGCTTATTCACATAACGATTTAGCCACATAGATGCTCACTGTTGCCTGAATAAGCCCAGTACTTTCAGATCTTTGCTTGTATTGTTTTCTCCTGGTTTTTCATCTCCTGAGCAAAATGTTTTTTCTGTTTTAAATGACAGTTTATCAAGACTAGAGTCTGCAAACACTAACTGATAGAATCAAAAAGGGACAGAATGATCCAACAAGGGAAGCAGGATACACAGCAGGCTCATAGAATGGCAGATGTCCTAAACAGCACTCTGGCCTCAGAATCAGCCCTTAGGGCATTCGGATCCGGCTAAAAAGCCCATGAGAGTATTTCAGGTATGGAAAGCCAAGACACTCTGCCAAAGAAAAAAAAAAAAGAAAAAACCAAAAAAACCCCTAAATCA